AGTCTATATTAGAGTTATCCCTAAAGAAGAACTTACACGATAGCTATCGTTTATCCTATCCTTAGTAGCGGCGACGATAAGGACCTTCTATAATTAGATAGCCACGTTATAGCCTATAGTGGGAAGCTTATTATAACGGCGACTATTATACCTAAAGTAAAAGGTATACTTAGCGGATATAGTACCGGAGTACCGGTATAACTCAAACCGTAAGCGCGACGTCTTATTACTAAAATTAATCTTAGCCAGCTAGCCGGCGTAGCGGGAGTAAGGGTCCCTAAGGGTTAAGCCCCCGGAGGCCCTTTCCCTAACGTCTACCACCTCTTAATAAGGGGTGGTCGACGACGATAACACTATAGCCATCGCCATCTTACGCTTCTTAGAAGCGCTATTAGCTATTAGCTTAGATACCGGCCGCTTATTATTATTTTTATTATTATTATTAGTCTCCTTAGGAGGTATAGTGGCGGTAGTTAAGGGAGCTATATGAGATAGTTAGTGAAGTTATATAAGTTATTTTCCCCTAGGATAGAGAGATATTAAAAGGATACTTATAAGATAATAGAGAAAAATTAGGAAAATTAAGGAGCTATAACACGTTAATAACTATTAAGCCCTGCTCCTATAAGTAAAATACCACGAGGGTTAACTTACGGCACGCTACGAATACAACGAAAAATCTCGAAATCGGAGGCGTAAAGAAAAAAAGAAAAAAAAAGAGAAGAAAATTAGGGGGGAGGCGTTAAGGAAGATATCCCCTAGAAGGACACGTGGGCACCGTTCCTTCCTATAAAGGAGGAAGGTATAAGGGTAAAAGGGGTATAAGAGGGAAGGAGATAAATTTCTATTTTTAGATATATTATATATCGGCGCCGGTTCTTTATATAGATTAGAGGGATATCGGCACCGGTTCTTTATAAGGATTAGAGAGATATCGGCGCCGGTTCTTTATATAGATTAAAGGAATATCGGCGCCGGTTCTTTATATAGATTAAAGAGATATCGGCGCCGGTTCTTTATATAGATTAAAGGCAGGCCGATGCTGGCTATAGTATAGGAGCGACGGATTAGGAATAGGACTATAACAAGACCACGACGGGGTCGTCTATAGGATTAATAATAGAAGGACTATAGGAATAGAGTAATGGATTAAGAATAGGACCACGATAGGACTATAACGGGGTCGTGTACAGAATTAAGGATAGAAGGACTATAGGAATAGAGTAAGGGATTAAGGATAGGACCACGATAGGACTATAACAGGATTGTGTACGGGATTAGCGATAGAAGGATAGTGGGAATAGAGTGACGGATTAAGGGTAAGACCACAACGGGACTATAATGGCGTCGTGTGCGGGATTAGTGATAGAAGGACAGTAAGAGGGGATATAGGCCGACGCCGGGTATAGTCGGGAAAAGTGGCCCTATCCGGCACTAGCCGCTTCTAAGGATAGGAGTACTCTGGGGGAGGTCGCCCTATTAAGTGCCCCTGCCTAGGAGATAGAGGCCGGGTACACGACGGGACCACGACGGGTTCCCGTATAAATAAGACCGGGCTCCCGTCTTAACATAGCTATAGCTACCCTAGGCCGATACTACTATATAGGGCTATAGCCTAGGCTTAGGCGTAGATATCCGTTTACGATATCCGTTTAACTATACTAGCGTTAGCCTAGGAGTATATAGTGCTTATATAGTGCCCCCTCTTTAGTATAGAGAGGGCAGCGATTATTCTGATTCTTTAGGGCTACCTATATTTGGACTAGCCGTGACCACCACTTAATACACGCCTGCTCCCTTTTAGACCCTCTCGCTACTACCTTCTTACTCCTTATAACTACCTATCTAATAGCTAAGTAGGGATCCTCTTATCGACGTTTTTCCACGAAAAGGGCGTTTTTATATAGGGAGGCTTATTAACGTAAAAAGTTATAAATAACGCGCGTTAAAGACCTTTAATAAGATAAGATCCACTATTAGCCGCACTATAGGTAAGGCTAACGACGATACTACTACTACTAACGATAACGATACTATTCCGGAACTTAATCTACTAGTTCTAATGTTAATGCTTTATCGACCTAAAGTCACTCGACGGCTTAAGAGGCGTAGAAATACCTTCTAGAATAGCCACGGGAATAATCCTACTATAACGATAGGTATTATAAGGGGATTAGTGGTCGGATCGGATATAGTATTTTAGGACCTATTTAGATTAAGTTGGGAGGAGTTTTATTACTTAATATATTAGATTGTATTAAATAGTATAGTTAGGGAGACCTCTTACTATACGATTTTATAAAAGGTTATAATCTTTCTCTATATTATCGGCTATAGCGTATCGTTGCGTAATATATACCACCGGTTTAAGATATCCTTAAATATAGGATCGCGTATCTTTAACGAGGTCCTAGGTGCTATACATTAGCTTTATATCGAATACGTTAAAAACCTATTAGCAGGATACGTATCACGATATATTAAACTATCACGACGTAATAATTAGTTTAACAGTTATATCGGCGTAATTAACGGAACGTATATCACGGTGTGGGTGCTACTAAGGGTATAACGGCGGTTCTATAACCGGAAGGGATAACTTATTTAAAATATCCTCGCGGCGGTGGATTTTAACCTCTCGTTCACGTATATCCTAGCAGGCGCTAAGGGTAGTATAAACGACTTTTCCTTACTTCGAGAGGCTTTCGCGAGAGGGTCTTTTCACGTACCTAATAGGCGGTTCTACCTTATAGATAATAGCTTCGGTAGCGATATTCGAGGTATTATAACCCCGTTCGACGGGGAGAGGTACCACCTTTAAGATTTCTCTAAAATAGCTTAGAAGTAACTATCCTTAAAGGAGCGGTTTAACCGTCTTTACGCAGGCTACCGTAGTGCCGTTAAACGCGTTTTTAGGGTATTAAAGAGGTCTTTCCGTATTCTCGGCGTAAAGGCACCCGAATATAGCCTTAAAAAGCAGATTAAGATTATATATACGGTGACGGGGATCTAGAATTTTATTAGATGTATTCGTAACGATACGGCGTTAATTACGGGGTTTACGTAGGAAGAGGAAAAGGAGCTATTACGGCTAGCCGTAGAGCGTGCCGACCGTAATATCGGTAATAAGGGTGGATTAAAGATACAATACTAGATATCTAAGATAATAGAATAGTAGTAGTAGTTATATAGGATTATTATTATTAAAGTAAAAAAAGGATCGATATATCGATATTTTAAATATTATATAGATTATAGTAGTGGAAGGAGTAGATAAAATAGAGCTATACTCCGTATTAGTCCTTTTCGGGTAGGTGGTGAATATATCTAGTTAATTAAATCCACGGAAAAATAAGCTTAGTCGGAATCTAGATCTATTATAGCCCTACGCCTACCGCCCCTCCCACTATCACCACTATCACTACTATCACTACTATCACTACTATCACTATTATCACTATTATTACTGTTATTTTCACCGCCCATAATAACCCTCCCTTAGATAAAGCCGTACTTTTTTAAAAACGACCGTTTTCCTTTAATCGAGATCGCGTTAAATAGCGTAGCCTTAGTAGGATTTTAATTAAGTAAGGAACTCTACCACTATAACTACTCTATTAACGCCGCCTAACTCGTTATAGAACTCACTCTCGTAACTGATAATAGCCTTTATAAAAATAGGCTTATTTTAGCGCGTGGCTAATATAACTAAACCGGTTATTAGAGGATTAGGTATATTAGGCTCCCTCCTATAATAGCGCCGTGGAAGAGTATCTAAAATATTATTATAAGGGATAGACGAGCTTATACTACTACTATTAGAATCCTATTATTACTTCCGAGTTCGCTTACTAGCCGGCGGTAGTATAGCTATTAACGATACTATAGATTACTAACGCTTACGTTAATTTAGCTCGTATACGTCTACGATATTTTAACCCGTCGCGATAGTATTAGGCTAAACGTGCTTTAAGAGGCTTTCCACCTATCGTACGCCCCCGCGCTTACGAATACGCTTACCGATCTCGCCGTATTTAGCCTTAAAGATATCCTACTACTCTGGCGTCGCCTTAATTATGCCGGTCTTATCGTTATAGTTATTAACCCCGGACTTACCGATAAGCGTTAAGGCCGCCCGTATATCTTTTTCTATACGATTAAGCTTTAATATTATCGCCTTAACTATTAGGTTAGCCTCGGAGAATACCTCTTATAGTTCCGGTAGGATCGATATTAGGGTTAGCTATCTAGCTAACCTCTTATTACTAGTAGTAAATAGGGTATTATTATAACGCGTAGTGATAAGTCGTTTAAGGAGGCCACGTTTAACGTTATCGCTCTAAGTTACCCGTAAGGACTATTTACCGGATATAGGAGCGGCGGCCTTAGACGCCGTACGTATAGGTAAGGTAGTCTTTTAGGTATTTATATCGTTTTCTAACGTATTTTCGTCGCTAGAGGCGTCGGAATCGATAGTATCCTTCCCTTACATTAAAGGCGGCGGTAGATTCTGTGTCTACGACTCGATATACCCGGTGCCCGGGTTAGGTATATTATAAAGTGACCCCTCTATAATATCCTCCACGCTAATAGAACTAAGGGCAGCTATATAGATATATAATAAAGTTATCACGATATTATATAGCATTAAGAAGATAGTGGTTTTATATCTAAAAGATATAACCCCGTATCACGGATCGGTTTAATAATTCTCCGATATAAAAACTTTATTACTATATAAAAAGATATATCGAGGCTAAGGGCCGGGGTTAAAATAGCGTCTTAGCTAACGAAAGTCACTTACACAAGAAAAGGAAAATCGTCACTAAAGTTAGTGAAATTGTCGAACGGGGCCTAATAAGGTACCTAGTCACTACCTACCAAGCTTGACCCACTCTACGGAGTGCTCAGGTACCTACCTGACCACGGTACTGAAGTGACGTTATCCAGCTATTTTCGGCACGATGCCGATGCATCCATCTCTCACTGCCAAACATCCTGAAGCTACCATACCCATACAATAAGCAGGACTCGTCTAAGCAGGCATCTATCTATGCGCAACTTCCTGGACGTAGGCAATCTTAGCAGACCTTTCTAGGTACTCAGTCTGCTCCTTGGCAGCCTGCTATGTCTATCGTTGCCGAGTTCGTCTCCCACCATCTTCCCTTCCTTTCCCTTAGTCCCGGTCTCTCTTCTTCCTATCATACCACGCCGTTATCTTGATGTTCCCTAACATTGTGCCAATTTACTGACATTTCTTGCTACTCGTGCAGTCGCGTGCGCGAGATCGACGCACAGCTTGATCGAATCGCTCTGGGATTCGGCAGGCTTCCTCCTCCAGACCTGGACGAGCTATCGGACGCCGCCATTCACGGCACCGATGATGTCGAAACGGAATACGCCAACGAAGCCTTGTCCACTCCTCGAGTACAGGAGCTTCTCCGCATTGTCAACGCCCTCTCTTCTGCCTCGTCTCCCCTGTCCCAAGTATCTCCACATCGCATTCAAACCCTTCTTCGGCAATCCCGGCTTGCCGACCTTGGTGATGTAGACTCCCTCGCCGACAGATCAGGTCCAGACAAACTCCACCAGTCCAATGTGGAGTGGCTCTTAATCAGCAGGGCCACTGTCCAAGCCTATGGGCACCTCCTCAACATGCTCTTCGAACAGATAGTTCCTCTGAGCGATGACATCCAATACTGGGAGGAGACTCTGGGCTCTTATACATACACCATTCTTTACACCATACAAACGTCGCCCCTGCGACTTTGGGACACTTTTCACAGAATTCGATGCAGCGTCCACGATCATATTGGCAATATCGATGTTGAACATGAACCCCCTCCTGGGTCTGCTTGGAAGGGTATGGCTCGCTCATGGGTCCAGTTCTATGGCATAGTTCAAAGAAGCGTTCGCGAGCGCTCCATGACGACCATTCGGGGCAAGGTCCTCTCTCCAGTGTCCCGGAGCCGCCGCGAGGTGCGTCGGCATCTTGCCGAGCTCAACAAGCTGAAAGACATTACCTCCACCGGCCTGGGCATGCTGGTCGACGAAGGCCTCGCCTTTGGAATGGATATGGACGACGCTAAGACCGACGATGAAAGCATGGACCTCCTTCACTGGAAACCTGTTGTGTCTAAGACGGTGGCAATGATGGATGCGGTCCTTGATAAAATCATGGAATTAGAACTTTACCCCCAAGATTTCGAGACTAGCGTCTTCCGCACCATATACGAGGATGCCGAGCTCGGTACACAGTTTGACGATCCCCAAGCGCCCCTGCGAGTCTCTGCCGCCGCCCAACGGCTGCTATACATCCTAGAGCACAAGCTTCCCCAGAGAACCCGCGAATTGCATGAAGAAGTACGGGAACATGGGCGGCCATCGGTATTGGTGCGGTATTGGCTTCCCGCAACGCTGGCCGCTCTGTCCTCTACCACTGTCCTGCGCATCCTCGTTAACAGGAAGGCCGAGTTAGCCACCTGGGCACGAGATATCGCGGTGACAGCTCGAGATTTCTGGACCAACTGGGTCATCCAGCCGGTTCGCAACATGGTTCGCACGATTCGACACGACGAGGCGAGTGATATCGCTATAATGAGCCGTGACAGCCTCAAGGCCGATCGAGAGAGCCTTGAGCGCATGGTGGTCGACTTCGCCCTTGACAATCCGCACTTCACAGGGGCGTCAGGCCCGCTCAGCGACGCGCAAATCGCGGTGCTTCGGGCCAAAGTGTACGAAGGGGATTTGACCCCGGTCCTGCGGGCGTATGAGACGGATCTCCGTAGACCTTTTAGAGGCGCGGTGCGAGGGGACCTCGTCCGATCACTTCTCATACAAGTGCAGAAGACCAAAGTCGACCTCGAGGTAGCAGTCAGCGGCATCGATGCTCTGCTGAGGAGCCAGGAGCTCGTCTTCGCCCTGGTGGGTCTAACCCCGGGTATTCTCGTTACCGCGGGGGTGGTTCAGTACATACGAGGAGTCTTTGGCGGCCGACGTGGAGCCCGTACCCAGCGCCAGGGAGACCAGGTGCTACGGGTAATGCTGAAGATCGACCGCATCTTAACCGAAGCGACACCGACGGCCAATGAATTCCTCCATTACCGGGATCACGGCCGGTTATTGTGCGAGGTGCACGTGCTGCGAAACGCGATGTCGAAGCTGCTACCGCGGCATATGGAAAAGGAATTTCTGAAGGATCTGGATGACCTAGCCAGCCCTAAGAGATACCCAGTCCAAGTGCAAACTTTCAACAGAATGAAATGGGCCTATGCAAAATGGGTGCGGTGAGGCGAGGTCTCTTGACGCGAGGAACACACTCGATGAGTCAATGTCTTTTACTTGATGGAACCAGGTGGATAAAAGGTCTGGAGCCGTTGGTGGCTGTCTCCCTAGGCGCCATGAGTCCGATGGCGAGTGCAGCTTCCCGGACTTGTCGACGATATCTGCTCCGTACGGGTGGCCGTCGAATTTGCTCGAAAAAAGTATCATCAGCATAACAGCGAATGGTGTCTGGACAAACTGGATTAAAAAGCATGGAGAGGCCAGGGTACGCTAGTCGAATAAGGAATACAGAAACATCGTTTTTAGATCAAACGGAAATATAGATATACAATTGATTAATATTTATTGGACTCTTGCAGACTCACAGGATGTCGGTCAGTCCCTCTTGTCCCTCTGGTCCCTCTCGTCCGTACCTAAGGTACATTCTGGATCGTGTTTGCGTGTATTCTCATGGTACCATCCCTTTTAGGTACCTAGGTAAGGTACTTACAAGGTGCTATTTCTCAAGGTACGTGTGACGGGGAAGATAAGGTACCTCATTTGCGTAGTAGGTACGGAGTATTACTCAGTGCTCGTTCACTGGAGACTATAAGTACCTAGGTACTACTCTACGTACCTATACCTTAGGCAACAGCAAATGACCTTAGGTGGTTTCCTCCAAAAGCAGGGAAACTCGGGTGCTGGAGAAGTACCTTAAGGGTCTCCGAACTTGGAATCCGCAGCCCCAGACCCCGATTCGGCCACGTCCCTTCAGCCTTCTAAACGACTTCTCGACTCACTGGGGGCGGCGGCACATCATCGCGATTGTCTCGTCCATTGTCCATTGAAATCCGCCTGCTATTACCATTGACGCAACGCTTTGAATAAACAACAACAACAACAACCCCCTCGAGTCTTCGCCCATCAATACCAGACGACGACGAGAAACTCACACCCACGTTTCCCAACATTCGAACTGACTGGTCTTTGACAACTTCATCAACATGTCGAGTAACAGAAACTACGACTTCCTAGTACGTCTTGTTCAGTCGTCTAGACATACCCAGCCTACATGACCCTGCGATGCGCCCGTCGAGCCTGATCCGTTCCGTGCTGTCCGCTGCACCTTTCCCTGACCCCGTGCACTTCATTCGCTGTCACCTCCTCTCCTCGCCTCTTGTCTGATGTGCTCTGCTAACACCGCCGTCTCCTTTTCACTGTCCACAGATCAAGCTCCTGCTGATCGGGGACTCGGGCGTCGGCAAGTCTTGCTGCCTGCTGCGTTTCAGTGAGGACTCTTTCACCCCTTCCTTCATCACCACCATCGGTATCGACTTTAAGATTCGGACGATCGAGCTCGATGGCAAGCGGGTAAAGCTCCAGATATGGGATACGGCTGGCCAGGAGCGCTTCCGCACTATTACCACCGCGTATTATCGCGGTGCTATGGGCATTCTGCTTGTCTACGACGTCACTGACGAGAAGTCATTCAATAGTACGCAATGCGCCCCCTTTCCTTTTCGTCCCTTGCACTACAAACCCCACTATTCCCGTGGCCTAGGTCTGTGCACGTCTGTCTCTGCTGCTTATGTGCTAACATGTGTAACTTGCCTTCCTTCCTCTTCTGATCAGATATTCGCACCTGGTTCGCCAACGTCGAGCAGCACGCTACAGAAGGCGTCAACAAGATTCTCATCGGAAACAAGTGTGACTGGGAAGAGAAGCGAGTCGTGTCGACCGAACAGGGACAGCAACTTGCCGATGAACTCGGCATCCCCTTCCTCGAGGTGTCTGCCAAGAGCAACATCAACATCGACCAGGCCTTCTACTCCCTCGCCGCCGACATCAAGAAGCGCCTCATTGACAATCAGAAGGGTGACCAGGCTGGCGCCGGTACGGGCAGTTCAGGCATCGCGGTGAACCAACAAAGCGGCGCCGGCGGTCTCGGCGGCAAATGCTGTTAAAAAAAAAACCCCCAGGAAGAAAAAAAAGGAGGGGGTCAACGACACAGGGTAACAAACAACTTGAGGGGCCACATGGCATGGTGCAAGACCAAGGAAGACACAGGCGGACATAGTGAACACCAAGGCTCTGGTGTCTGCGTTTGCATTGGGCGTTCTGTATGTGGCTACGCATACGGGATCTCATGACCGATTCGAGTGGACGGATACAGAGGGGTTTCGAGGGAAGAACCCCGGAGTTGCTGGCGACAGCTGCAGCTTGGGTCTACTTCCGGCAGGACAAGTTCGCACGTGATTGTCGTTACAAGGAAGAAGAGCAAGGGAAGGTCGGAGGACAAGAAAGGAGGCAGCTTGGTTTGGCTTCGATGGTTTCCTGTGCTTCTGCGCGAGAGGAGCGAGTGCGTGCGTTGTTTGGCAAGTGACACTTTAGTCACTCTGATGGGTTCGTCATCGCTGTGTGCGGCACCAGAGCGAGGCAGGAATCATGCGGAAGCGTCCGTTCAGTTGGGAGGTATTCCTGTGGAAGTACAACACAATGGGGTGCTGCGAAAGGAGACGGGATTCGGTCCGGTCGGTCACCCTGACCGGTCTGTTTCTGGCATGTTGCCTTGACGGGATTTCTGGCTCCTTCATTACTTGTTGTCGCCGTCATTGTTATCATCATCCCCTAGAGAGTAAATATCTGGTCTGGAGTTCGGTTTATCATGTGGGGTCTAATATACTTTTCTATTTCTCCTTCTCATCACACTGCGCATGAGACGTTGTCTTAATCTTGTTGATGACTGCCTCCTCTCTTCCCAACGACCCTCTTGATCTAAGGCGAGTCCGCATGGGCGTGCACATACACCCGCAGCTGACATGTTCCTTGCCTGCCGAAACTAAAATAAAAACAAAGAGAGAAAAGAATATTCCCCCCGGCCCCCTTCCCCACCAATGTTGAATACAAGCTTAGCTTTTCGGGTATAAGAGAAAGCTGTTTGGTATTGCACTTTCATTGTTCCTCTACATAGATAAAGGACTGCAGTCAACATGACAGCTGGATTGCTGTGTCTGCGCTTCAGAACACAGCAGGATATGTGGCAAGCAGTCCTCCAAAGGGCTACGAGAACGTGGAAAAGAGAGAAGAAGAAAAAACCTGCAATTACCAGGGTATAATGGCATTGACGGTTATGCCTTGTATCTGCTGCTGGTTTGGTGTCGACTCCAGACTCGTGGGGGAGGAGAGGGAAAACTCCCTCCGATGCCATGTCCTGACGAATCGCCGTGCCTCAAGCGCATCTCTGAAAGACACCACGAAGCGCGCCGATTTGACCGGACCTTCGGTTTTCATGTTCCCATTGAAGCCGCAATCGCCACCGGCATCAGTTCCCCTAGTCCCTTTGTCGATTCCATAAGCCCCGTCACCGCCCTCGAGGGCCCCGTCCGATGCTTCACTAGAAAGCCCCAACTGCCCTCTTGTTTCACCGTTTGTTGCCTCTATCTCCGGCGCCTTGCCATTGGATTTATTTTTGACCGCCTTTTTTTGTTTCCGCTTGCTGTCTGGCCTCGGCTCGGAATATTTCCGCGCAAAGTAGGGCTTCACATCTGTCATGTCCCAGGCGAGGTTCCGTTCTTGGCCATCCTGACGGACCAGGCCCAGAAGGGTTGGGACATCTACGGCACCTCCTTCTAGTGACACTATAACATGTTGATGATTAGATGAGGAGGCTGATGTGGCGGTATTGGTTGATCCTTTTCCAGTGCTGCCCAAGCTCGGGATAGACGCCGAGGCGGCCAGTATGTGTTCAATGGTGAAGGGCTGTATACGAGCTTCGGTGCTCCCCGGGAGGGCATACAGTTTGAGGCTGAGGGGCGCAGGGGACGGCGGTGCGAGGGTAAAGGTTTGCTGGTCCGGATCGGAATCGGAGCCAGTAGGAAACGGTCCATAAAACAGGGGTGAAGAGAGCTGCTGGGAGGTGGCATGACGCAGAGGGCCGAAAAGAGCATGGGCCTGCAGCTTGTAGGCTCGGGCGGCGGCCCGCGAGGTGAAGAAGATGAAATAGCTGTCGAGCGGCTCTAGCGTGTTTACATCGAACAATTGAACCACTGGCAGAGCAAGAAAGGATGAATCAGCTCAGGGCTACACGGGAGTGTGGAAGACAGACGGTGCAGTAGTGCGACCTAGACAGGAATGAAAAGATAAAAACGCACCTTTCCTGATGGAGCCATTCCAGCCATGGACGTGCTCACCCTGACGACCGACGCGGTAGAAGTCGGACTCGGCAAGGGATTTCGATGCATTCCAGAGGACGAGCATGGCCGGCATATAGTCGCGCGGCGGTAAGGAGCTATCATCCAAGCCGGCCTGGGCGCGCTGCGCTTCCAGCCAGGAGACTAGGTCCTCCTTATCGAGCACCTCGCGGGCGGGGCTTGCTCTAAAGGCCGGGGTTTCTCGACTTTCCTTGGCAGGACCTGCGAGTGCGGCGCCTTCTTTAGGCGGCGAGTCCAAATCAGCATCCGGGAAGAGCTCGTTGAAGATGGAACCCTTGGCGGGCCTCCGTTCGTCAGCTATCGGTGCAGCTTCGCGCCATGGACCGTTCCCGTTGCCATGGCCACTGTCGTTGCGGCTGCGGTTGACGCGGGTCCTGAGGTTTGCTGGGCTGTCTCCGTGGCCACGCGAGCTGTGCAGATGACCGAGAACAGAGAAGGGTCGCAGGCAGAGATTAGCACTGCTATTTCCGGGACGAACGCTGCCGCATGACGGTGCCCACGACGATGTCCGTGGTGTTCGACAGCGAATGGTTGGAGGAAGGACGAGCCGAGGAGACCGTGGGTACATTCGTGCAATCCTGGAGAAGGAATTGCCCAGGTCTCCGCGTTCAGCCCATGGCATGAGGCTCAGTACTCTTCCGCGGCGGGGCGACGACTAGGAAGGCAGATGTGGTTTGGGATGACGGGGAGGGGACCGGAAACTGGACGATCGATCAGGTGTAAGTATTAGATGTATTACTTCGTAGGGAAAGTTGGAAATTTGCATCGATGTTGTAATTGTAAATTACTGCGTAAGCCGACTCTGGCGATACTTCGTTAACGGAGTATATACATACGCTAGTGCACAGAAATCATTGCATTGGACAAAGTGATAGCCGGCTTATATAAGCTAGAGTTCAGCCCCAGGCAACAAGCCACAGTGATTACGGGAACAATTATATCCCCTGATTACATAAGAAGATCGTTATGTGGCTAGCGCCACACTTGCCCTTGATTCATAAGGTAGGTAGCTTACTTAATAAATAGCAGGGGTCCTTTCCAGGGAGGGGTGCTTGGTGGTGGGGTGCTTGGGGAAGAGCGAGGGAACCACAATCGTTGCTTGTGGGGACAGAAAAGTGTGTCCTAGGCAGCGGCACACACACTTACGATGAAGTCTCATGGGTATATTGGGTCGATTGCTTCGTACTAGTTAATTCATCTCCTGGTCTGACAAGGTACTTTACCTGTCGAGCGATAGTGGCCTTGTTTCTATAACTGTACCCCTGCAGATATATCATGTACACCTGTGAGCGAGGGGTCATTTTCCAAAGCTTCCATCACCAACTCATCACTTGACTCAGCTTCACTCAACTTATTAACTCGGCTCAACTGAGCTCAACTGAGCTTGGCTCCTGCGTCCTCTTGAAAGTCCTTCCTGACGGGCTCTTTGGAAACAAAGAGGAAAAGAAAACGAAGAGGGGAAAATGAGCAACAATACCGGAATCAATACCGGAATCAAACCGAAGGAGATCACGGTCAAGGTCCGTCCAGTATCCGAATGCGACCGCAGTCAAGACAAGGCAACTCTTCAAGGGTTTTCAAGAGCATGGGTCAACAAGGATGCCCTCATATTCCTCACCGGGGGTGTTGAGAGCGGTAAACGCTGCTGGGTTGAGCGCACTGTCCCTGCCACGGCTACCGCTGCCCCCAAAGATGCGACCTCAGAGACAGCACCGGGTTCATCACCTGGCTTAGGCGATCCTGTCCGCCGACAGGCGCTTCTTTCGTTGTTGCCAGGCTCCAAGATGCCCCAGAACATCGTCTTCATGACAGAAGCCTACCGGAAGGCTTGCGGGTTTCACCTTGGGGATATTGTGACCATCAGACCGGACCAAGATATGGCGGTACCGTCCGCCCAATTCGTGGAGGCCGAGCCCCTGGATGAGATAGGCAGTGAGCAGGAGACTGCTTCTTGGGAGGGCGCCGCCTGGTTTCAGCTTAGTAAGTCTCTCACATAACCGCATGGTCGCATCATGGCTGCATGGAAACCACCCTCTGCTACGCCGTACTTCCTACCTCCTACCCAACTCAACCTACCTTGGCCCCACCTGACAATCTTGCTTACACCGCACCACCTTGTTAGAACGCGCTGGTCACGTCCTGCCCGGTCTCCGAATTGACTGCACCGTGGCCGGGTTCAAAAAGTCCCTTCAAATCCGCGCCGTCGACTCAAAGACGGACAACGTCGCTTCATTTGGCGAGACCTCGGTTATTCGAATTCGTAATGTCTCGCCTCTCCCTGACGGCGTCCCTGCGGCCCCCAAGAAACTAGAGGTCACAGGCATCCCCGGGCTTGCGGCCGAGGAGAAGAAACTCAATCGCTTCTTCAGGGGGTTCAACACGACTTTCCTGCACAAGGGACAGCAACGATCTTGCGGTATCGTGATCCACGGCGGACGAGGCGCCGGTAAGAGCTACGTCTTGGATCGGATTGCCGCCACTGGTTGGGGTAAGGTGTTTAGAATCGAGGAGAACGACAAGTCTTCCACCGTCGAGGAAGCCTTCAAGCAGGCCAGCGCTCAACGGCCCAGCATCATCCTCGTCGACGGACTCCACGCCTTGATAGGCAAGGACCGGCCAAACTCCGGCACCATCGCCACCAAACTCGGCCAACAGCTGGACCAGCTAGCCGAGGAGGCCTGGAAGACCGACACCCTGCCGAAAGTTCTCGTGGTTGCCAGCTGCCTCGATTACATGACTGACGTGCCAGCCGAGCTGCAGAAACTGACTCGGTTCGAGCGAAACATTCCGCTCTCCATTCCGAACGCCCAGGGACGGCGGGAGATCTTGGAGACATTAAGCGGCCCCTTGCCTCCGGAGGACAAGGAAAGCATGCTGACCATGCTGGCCCAACAAACCCACGCGTTCAATCCTTCGGATCTCTGCCGCCTCATGGGCCACGCCGTGGAAATCCTGGCTGAGCGCCTCGACCCGCTCCAGGAGAACGCAACAACCTCGGAGGGGGAGCCGGTGCCCTTCGTCAGCAGGGAGGATCTCGAGCAGGCTCTTCGTTCAACACGTCCCACGGCCATGCATGACGTGAATCTCAAGCCGCCGACGATCCACTGGCAAGATGTTGGCGGGCAGGAGGGTCTCAAGAAAGCCCTGCGGAGGATGATCGCGCTCACGACAACGACGGACCCCGAGGTTCACAAGCTCATCCTCGACCCTCCCAAGGGCCTCCTCCTCTACGGACCCCCCGGTTGCTCCAAAACGCTTTCGGCCCAGGCCATGGCGACCGAATCAGGCTTCAACTTCTTCGCCGTCAAAGGCGCCGAGCTGCTCAACATGTACGTGGGCGAGTCGGAGCGCGCCGTGCGACAACTCTTCGAGCGCGCGCGGGCCGCCAGCCCGAGCATCATTTTCTTCGACGAGATCGACTCGATCGGCGGCGCGAGGAGCGGGGGCGGCGGGGGCGGCAGGGGTGGCATCAACCGTTCGCAGGGCTCGGTCAACATGCTGACGACGCTGCTCACCGAGATGGACGGCTTTGAGGCCCTGACGGGCGTGCTGATCCTCGCCGCCACGAACCGGCCGGAGGACATGGACCCGGCACTCCTGAGACCGGGTCGCTTCGATCGGGTCGTCTACGTCGGGCTTCCGGATCTGGCGGGCCGAGAGGCCATCTTCAGTATGAACCTCGGCCGTCTGCGCATCGCTGACGACGTCGACATGGGCGAGCTGGCGGAGCTTTCGGATGGGTTTTCGGGTGCCGAGATCAAGCAGATCTGCTCGATGGCCTCCAACCGCGCCATCGACGCGTGGCTGGACGGCGAGAGGTCGGGAGAGGATAGCGTGATTCGCATGGGGGATGCTGTGGAGGCTGTCAACACTTTACCGCGGGGTGTCACACCGGCCATGTTAGACGATTACGAGCGATGGGCCAGACGCTTCGCGAAGCAGGTATAGAAGAAAGCATACGGATAGAAATGAAAATACCCTGGTGTCTTGTATCAGAGAAGCATCCACTCTTCTCACGATCATCCCGATATGTCGCTAGTTGGGTCCTTTTTTTTTCTTTTTCCCTGTGCTTCCTCAGGAAGAAAGCTTCTTTATGTCTTTCCGAACATCAAACAGCTCGTAACTCTCATGAGGTAGAGCAGTAACCTGTTCCTGCCGCGCTGAGTGGTGAGCGGTAAGCTGATTCAGCTCTTTTTGGAGGAGCTTCTTATTATACTTACGTAGCACGGATACGAGTCCAGTGCGGTTGCAGGTACGAACACCGTGAATCAACAGTACCTACAGTGTTTTTACCTGGAGGCAGTACGGAGTACATTTTCTCTATCCGATCTCGGCCTTCCACTGAGGTTAAGCAAAACGATCCACCCACTTACTTATTCTTAGTCTCATGCCTCTAGTCCCCTAATTAATGGATTAGTCGGCTCGGTTACCCCCACGCTTCACCGTTGGCCGGGTTTTTGCATCAGGGAAAGGGGCGATTGGCTTTGGTCCAAAGACCTATGTAAAGCTATCGTTATGTCTGTTCGACTTCATCACAAACTGTCAACCAAGTACGTTGTAGTTAATTTACACAGCTTGCCCATGATTCTCGGTATACTGGATGAAGTTTAACCTGCAGCCGTTCACATTGAATAAAATCGCGGCTTAATATCTCACATGGCCGTTGTTCGCCTGCTTTCCTGGCTTCTGTGATATCCCTAACTCGTAACGCAGCATTCGAGACGTCCCATCCAACATGAAAGAACTCGGTTTCTCTTCTCCCTCGGAATATCGTATCTTGAACTATTAGTATATGAGTTGCTGCCCTGTACGGTACGATACTGAACTCTTGTGATGTCTCTAACTCCTGACCAATAGGTATCGCGTCGTCATATTTTGTTGTAAGCAGAAACTGAACGACTACAGATCCTCGAGTTCCATGTTAGATCTGCTAGTGTTTCATATGGTGTGAGTCTAGGATCGTCTACGTCCAGCTCTTTGGTACTCGTAGATGTATTCAGACTAGATGCCTTCGTCAATGATGAGGTGTCCACGAGATGGGTTGGTTACTTATGGACAAGCAGATCTGGTCCGTTTCCCCGGAATAACCCCAAACATTTGCACTCGCCTCGTTTGTTGACACGTGATCTGCTACGCAGAAGTAAAGCTGACTTGTGTACCCCGTGACCGGATGGGAGAGAGCCTAAGGTACCTTAGCCAGGGCACAACCGCAGTATGAACCTACAAGTCGGCGGCATCGAGAGTGGCATGTACCTATGTATAGACACACATACACATACCTATATAAACATATGTCTATGCGGATACATGGCACTTCTCTGCGTTCCGTTTCCATCTCCCACGGCTCACACTGTAAACTTAGTACATGCATAGGGGGCACAAGCCCAGCTTTGAATTGGCATCGGAAATTTTGATTCTTGTTTCCCTTTACTTAACTGTCTCACGCAAAGACGCCATATCAAGACCTCAGTAGGCGGCGGTAATCGGGCGCTCACTGCCACCGCTTTGCCTAGCTAGCATGACCGCGGCTCTGGGCCAAAACAGCGAGCCCAGTATATAGCTATGATACAAGCCAACAGCCCATATCTACCATCTTGCCCCAAGCCAGATAGATTCGATCGCCAGCCATGCGATTAACCAAGCTTCCCCGTCTTTGCCGTCCGTGGGTCTCAGATGCGTGCCGTCAGAGTTTCCTGGGCGAGGGCAGGGGCCGGTGTTCCCATTAACCGGTCGGCTCCGGACATGGACGTGTGTTTCTCTGCTGCGGTAGTCGCCAGATCATCAGCTTTGCCCATTTGAACACCCAGCCCCCGTCCGCCACAACCCGGATTTTACACTGAAGTTCTGATCACCATCTTTTTTCTTCTTCTTTGATCCCTGGGAATAAACCTCCATCGAGGGAAAGACTCGGTAAACGCCCCGCCCTCCCCCCTCCCCTCCCCTTTCCTCCACCCGTCGTCCATAGAAGCCACCGTCATCATCGGAAAGACAGTTAAAGAAGAAGAAAAAGAAAAGGAAACCACCCGTGCGACCGGTAGAAACAAAAATAAGACTCCATTGACGTCTCATGACCCGTGGCATTTCCCCAACTGGCCGGGATTCCCTAAGGAGAACGATTAAAGAAATAAAAGAACGCCTCATGACTCTTCGTCGGACCTTGCGTTCCCACCCGTCTTTAACGAAGGAGAGATGCTGATGGAAATCTTCCGCGGCGCCCCAGACGGGCTGGCCCGCTCCGCAAAGCTTCTCCGGCGCCTAACCATGTTGCCCGGTGTGATGGAAGCGTTCGAACCAGCGGAGCTGCTATTACGCCGCTTGTGCTGCATCAGCTTCTCCAGCTCGTCGTCGTCCTCCTCCTCTCGCCGTCGTTTTTCCGACAGGCGCTCTGGTGGTGGACCCACGGCAGGTGGAGGTGTTACCGGCACCGACTGCGTTTCTCCCGTCTCGTCGGGCCCCAGCTTCGTCTCGCTCGAGGGCGGCATGGCCGCGTCATCCGATTTCCCCTCAGCTTCCTCGTCCGACGGATAATCGACCAGTGGCTTTTGTTGTTGCGGTGTCGTTGTCGTCGCCGCCCCGTTCGTGGGAGGCCCGTCTAGCGCCTTGCTCTCCGGACCGTCTTCGTCGTCCGACGTATTCCAATACTCTTCCTCGCTCGGATCAATAGCTATGTGTTCCATCATCCGCGAGTTGGGTTGCATGGGCCTCCTCGCCTCCTCGTCCTCATTCTCTAGGAAATATTCCATCGTGCCGCCTTGGGGCTGCTCTTGTCGGAAGACAATGTCGCGGAACGTCTCCATGTAGCTGAGGTCGACGAGTTGCTCGCGGTGACGCTGAACCAAATACTTGAGAAGATCCTTAACGTTTTCCTTCTTAATGTACTCAAACAGCTCCAAGCACGCCGAACTCAGAATGTTGTCTCTGGGCATCGTTTTGATAAGAACCTGCAGGATGGGGCCCAAGACTTGTTTCTCTGCCATGTGGTTGATGTAGAAGTCGTCCTGCAACCCAACGAGATGCCGGAAAAACCTGACGGCCACTAGAAAAGGAGACGAGTCAGCTGAAACAACTCGACAAAGAGATACTTCGCGGTCGTCGCCGGGGTGGTGACAGGGAGAGGGAGCACAAGAACATACCGAGCCGTAGGTACTTCTCCGGACAGCTAAGCAGCTGGACGATACGCTGGGCGATGTTGTTCTGTAACATGAAGAATTTGCTCCTGTGCATGTGCTGGCGGATGAAGTAGCTAAGTGTTTCGATTAAATACGGGAACATGGAAGCTTGTTGGACGGGAAAGTTCATGTCCGTCCGGCCCTCGAGAGCCATGAGTGGCTTGAACAGCTTCTTCGCCGTGTGTTCGTAGAAGTGCGCCAGGAGCAGTTCGTGCACCTCGGCCGCAGGCGCGAGGCGAGCCCGTGCGGGGAACTCCCCGTTCGCCTTGGCGAAAGCCTCCTGAGCTTGGACCTGGGGCCCATGATCTAAGAGTATCCTCAGCGAGTCGGCGATCTGAGCCCGCACGCCTAGGTCGACTTCCACGAGAAGGAGGTCCACGAGAGAGTCTGTTAGGAGCGGTTGGTTGTCATGGATCTGACGGTACAACGTCTGTCGAATCATGTGAGGGTCGTGGTCGATCATGGACACTAGGATATCGGTGGCGCCGACCCTAACGGCAACATCGCCATGCCGCAAGCCGAAATTAATAACTTGGAGCAGACCGTGTGCGATGAAGTTGTTGTACAGTGTCTGGCGTGCCGGTGGTTGAAGGTTTTTCGCGATCGAGCAGCACTGCTGAATGAACAAAACGGCATCTTTCTTCTTTCGGGGGTCTGGGGGCACGGCCCTGAAGATGCCGAACAGCTCGTTCAGAAAGTTGGCGTTCCCCTGGAGGTGCTGCACAATATCGACCTGATTGAAGAAGATCAACGAGTTCAGGACCGAGAAAGTGGGATCATCGAGGATGCGGGCCAGGACGACGTCCTTCAGGTACTGGAGTCGATAGGTCTGGTGTATCTTCCGTCGGATCACTTCATCTTCGATGGGGACGACCTCTTTATACCGTCCTTGGTTGTCAAGCCAATGCCGATGGTTGGCCTTGTGACCCGGGAAATCGGGGTCGTATTCGAGCGCGCCTACCACGCCCAAGAGGCAGTCGTCAGACACGGCGTGTTCGATTATGGCAGTATCGTTCAGTAGTATGGCAATCTTCATTATGTTGCACAGTCGATGCAAATCCGGTAGGCTCTCCAAGTCTTCGGCCATCTCGACGAGTGGAATCAGCTTCCCAATATAATCATCGCTCATAATGAATTTGGTCAACGCATCGCGGCCGTTGGCGGTCTGACTCATGACACGCATCGCCCCTTCAATCTCCGCGAGGGACTTCAGATCCGCAGGTGGAAGGCTTATAGTAGTCTGCGCATCGATCGCGAGGTCGTCGGAAAGACTGTCATCGGCTGCTGTAAAGGTCAGCAGTCAATCCGGATAGAACCGGGAGGCGAGAAATCAAAAGCCCTACCTGGACCGGCCAGAGCGCCCTGGAATGTCCTCTGGATGCCGCTAATGAATTTCCTTCGATGATAGTGAGTATATGAACGACACGATTGGAGTAACGCGATGTGGACGTGGGACGGTTGGTCTAACACACCATATCATATGACAGCCCTCGGCCTCTTGGAAAGAGAGAGCCATGTCGGTACCACTGCTCGGCTCTGTCCAGACGATCAGAGTCTCTGTCCGAATCGAGCAAGTTAGAAGACACAGTTACTTCGGTGCGGGAGAGAGTAGAGTGTGTTGTTCGTCAAACATGCCTTGTTGTTTCTGGAACCCATCTTCCCTGCAGATCTTGGTCTCCAACAGCAGCCGATCAGGTTGGTCTTCGGACTCGACGTAGACTCTGGGATCGCGGGTTTGGCCATCGTCCAACTGCCGCCACAAGATACAGTGAGCAACAAACATGCGCCAGGATGGGATACGGAAGACGGGCCCTACCTGCATGAAACCAGCGGTACAGAAGCCAGTGCCTCTGTCAAACCAGTCATTATTGCGCAACTCGTAGACTTTGACGCGCTTCTTGTCTGTCGTCTGATGAGGCACCGACTGTGCCATCATCACCGGCTCGGCGCCCACCACAGCGTCGGGCTTAGATTGATGGGGGTTGGTGATGTCCGGCGCTATATCTAGGTGTTGTTGCAGAGTCAACTCGGCGTCGATAGGACTGAGGACGGTGAGCGCCAGTTTCCTGGATGTTGCGCCTCAGACAGGCGCCGGGGAGGCTTCGGTGTCGGTGACGGGCGCAGATGGAAATTGAACGATGTCGGAAAAAGAAAAGAAAAAAGGTCGGCTGATCGCTATCGCTACGATGACGCTGGTCGCGCGGGTCGGTCGGGCCGTCTCCAGGAAGGAAGCTTCACAGTGGATATAGGAAGGAAGCCTAATCAAAATGAGGCCATGAGGAGGGAAATCCTTCGGTGGTGGTACTGAAGCCGCGATTGATGGATTAGCGGGTTGTGGGTTGACGAAGTTGACGTGACGGCTGGCGGGAAATGAGCGAGAAAGGAAAAGTTCGCGCGAGACGGCGCGGTAGGATGCCGAATGACGAGCAGAGCAGCACGTACGTGAAGGAGAACTGAAGCTCGCTTAACCCACAAGGTAATGCGAAGCGTTGGCTCGTGAACTCGGGAGGGGGAGTAATCTTTAGCGCGCCGCAAGGTTTGCGTGGGTTGATGATGGGTTGTAACCGGGGAAGGAGAAAGGTGAGGCTGGCTAAGGGCCCGAACTGGGGCGAATGCGTGCGAGTGGGCGGCGTGTGCCTCCACTCCCGTTTTTCCAAGTCTTGGTGTTACCTCATACCTATCTTGGGTTGTGATAGGAAGTACCGAGGTATCTTTGCCATATCTTACTGTGTGGACTGTGCGCAGCTTCTGGCGCTCGGGGATTGGGTTGCTACGTTGTACATAGGTACAAGTACAGTGAGTGAGCAAAAGTTTCGGGATAACCCAAAGTAGAATGCTTCGAACCTTTTGGGGAACACTTTTTTCTATTAGGGCAAAAACCATGATATGTTGCAAAAGTAACGAATCATTGGATCTTTGAAATGTACCGAAATTATTGCTCACCCACTACCTATACCACCATACTTATTTGGAAGTACTTTATGTATTTACCTCCTCCATAATTACGTATTCCATACATAGGTACCTTAGGTAGGTCTTGACTGCAGCTCCTACACGTACTTTTGGGAGTTTCGCAGACCATAAGTTAGGTGCCTTAGGTCAACGTGGTGTAATTAAAATAGCACCTATTTTACTTTCATGACGTTTTGAGCACAGCAGTTTTTATCCTCTGGCACGTACTTTTCGGTACGGGACGTACTGTGCGCACGTGTACCAACCCATAGAAGATCTTCAGGACGAATCGGAGACTCCAGGGAATGGCACTAAATAGAACTCGTCTAGGTGCCTAGTTTTGGGTAAGTGTTGCTGGTCATTGCCGCCTGGGACAGTGCTTGATGCCTAAGATTACTTTAACGCTTCGTCTTTCTCTCTCTTCCGCGCGTGGTCTCTCGGTCGCTTTTCTCTCGCACGTTGATATATGTCGACGCGGCCTCCTACGGTGCCGCCCTACTTCCAAAAACATGTGGCTTATCGTAAGTCAGGTCAAAGTCTTTGCCTGGGTCCCGAGAGAGATCTGGAGGACCAGGTAATTTGTAAGAGCTGGCTCAGCCTACTGAGACGACATCTTCTTCTAACCATTATAGTTCTCTCTGGGTGGATGTCTCTGCCAGGGTCTCCATTCCACTTAACATTCCACACGGCACGGAAGCGACTCGATATGGGATGATATATTGGTTTGTTGGAGCCTGTCCCGTTTTGTATAAAGTAGGTATGTTGCCCGCAGCGGCCCGTAACCTTGTGTGCTTGGGCACACGTGGTCCAGTTGGGATTATGTTTTTGGGGCCCATGGCTTTTTATAAGGGTATCCAGTTAGGTCCTATTCCATGGGCGTTGTACTTAAGCAATGTACGAAGTATTGGGTGCTGGTTGATCTGTTGATTAAGCGAGCTGTTATGCGGCCAAAAGTGCCAGGTTTTGATCAGGCCGACGCTATTCTGAAGCACCACCCTTTATATTGTGGGAGTACATGCCCAGGGCTATAAAGACACGACTCGGCCGGCCAATAGACCGCCAACTTTGATACGTATTATGAATGTCTTGAAATCTCACGTAATTATATATCGCCGACACAGGTCCGTCAAGATGAGGAATAATACCTCCCTTACCCTGTAGCAGGCGAACTGACACATGCGGTGAGAATGCCACCCTGGCTGTAGTCGGACGGACGAGATATGCGGTACTACCATCGACGGACAGCGATTTACCGGCAACGATCTCCTCCCTCAGCCACCAACCGCACTACTGAATAAAATACGCCGCAGTACCAGAGACTCGGGAGCTGCTGAAGGATCACTCCGACTCTACCCCCCACGAACCCCTGTTGTCACACAGACCCCGATCCACTTCCTTAAACCCTGAGCATGTTAAGAATAGAGGAAGAAGAACTAAAGTATGGCTCTGACGAAACAAGGTTATCATGACATCAAGGCTAGCGTAGCATGTAGGGCTGGCTGGCATCACGTTAATGATGCCCCTTGGACATGGTCTCCAAGGTTAGTCGTCTTAACAGGCGAGAAGGCCGCACCACCGCCAGTGCGTGCTATTCATTAGAAGAACGCATGTTTGCTGGCCCGTGGGAAAACCGAGCGATAGCCCTCGAGATTATTCAGAAAATGCATGATAAGGTCGCGTCTCAAGCCAGGAAAGGATAGAGCGGTAATGGGTAGGTACTGGGCTCTTATCTCGGTCTGATTTTCGCTGGCCGAGAGAGCATGGGTGCAACAGCAGTGGAGCCAATAAGACGGCCAAGTCAAAGAGAAAATGCGGAATGACCCCGTGTTCTGCTTCTAAATTGGGACGGGTTCATCCGAATTTGTCCTGGACAAGCCCCACAATGTGCCGCGTTCTACGGTGACATTATTAGGGAGTACGCACGAATACGCTCACCCGTACACGTATGTACAAAGTGCGAAGTATCCGTGTGATGGGTAGGTAGCTGTTTCTGGCGGCTGGCGAAACACGACGGTCTGTTTTATGCCTAGAGATAAGGTACTGTAGTACGGGGTATCGAATTACCTACTCTGTACGGGTTCAGCTGATGGATTTACTTTTAGCGCTGGCATCTGTGGATTCCTTTTGCACGCCACCATCCACAGCCACGAAAACGAGATCCTAATCGTGGTTCTGTGGGGCCCTGGCCGAGACCGCTAAGCCTTGAGCTTGGTGCGGCTGGAACGACGATGCCGCCGGTCTGAACCGATATGGCTGTGGTGTCTCGTTCCTGCTGTTGGCTCCCGTCCTCGATAATACAAAATGACGGTTCGTACGATGTATCTATATACCTGGTAACATCCGAATATTAAGCCAGTAATAAAATAAAGCAAGGTAGGTGGCGCTGTGAAGTGTACAGAGTATGTATATTGATACTTCGTGCCGACATGCCCCCCCACCCACCCCTGAGCCACTTCACAGGGGACCGACGGTATCACCATGGGATTTTATGGAAATAGTCTCTCTCATGTCGCACTAGTTCTTCAGGTAGGTAGGGAATAGACAGGCAAGGTCCTCCGTAAAGAAGTGATCGATGATGGCCACCCAACCAATACACGCCGTACGGCCTGAAATGCGATCCTGTTGGTAATTGAATGGTTAATAGGTTGTTCATGTTTGATTCATACGGTTATAAGGCACTGGGCCTGCAGAATTAATATGGAATCTAAGCCCAAAAATTCTGCCGGTGACGTGACGGGCCCATCCAATTCGTTCGGCGCTAGTAGCTATAGATTAAATACGAGATGGGCTCCAGCCGGTCGCAACGTCCATAACACTACCAGCCTGTGTATATATTAATGAGCACCGGTCCTCCGTCCCCCCTGTTGGGTCCTTCGGGTTAACTCCAACTCTTTCCGGATTAAATAATCCACTGAATCTCCACTACTCGAAAATAGGTGGGTTTCCCAGGTAGCCTAATATAAGTAGACAGAACGCGTACGAGGACTTCATGTATAAAGGCCTCCACGAAAAAGGCCTCCACGATAAAGGAGCCCTAGCCCTGACCCCTTCCGTTATACGTTACTGCGTCCTGATAATATAAAGGTACTTTAAGAGACCTAGGAAAACCTAACCTAGTTTCGGGTAGTGGGGATATAGTGGATTGTTCAATCCAGAAAGAGTTCGAGTCGACCCGGAGGACCGAACAGGGGGGAGCGGAGGACCGGTACTCGCACATAAGGTAGCTGGCCCCATTTCTGTTTCTTGTTTCTCATAAATGAAGATAACCAAGCGTTGGCGCCTCGTATTCATTGGGAAGAAGGTACTTTGTAAATACCTTACCTGTACTCAGTATCCGTACCAGTACCGTCCGGATTCGGATTCCAAACACCAATTAGTGATGCGTGTCAGCGTTGAAAGGAGGGGACCCTGGAACTGGAACTCTGTGAGCGGCTGTGGCCGTTGCCCGTTTCCCGTTGGCTGGGATCATGTCAAACTTCCATTTGTATGGAGCAAGAAGCCCAAGCCCGCAAGCTACCTACACCAAGCCAAGGGAATTCAACCTCGCCAGGCAGGACATGCCAAGAAATTGAAAAGGAATAAAAAAGCCACCGCTTATCGCCGCACTGGCGCATACTAGGTAGGTGCTCCGTATGTTCCATGCTACCTTACCCTTGTAACCCGAGTCCCCTACGCCGTACATCCATGTCGGCCCCACCGACCTTGCTTCTCCCAGAGCCATGGCGAGAGCTCTCGTTGTCACGACTCGCCCAATTCTTCGTTGCCTTAAAAAGAGACGAAGGGTCTCTGCTTATTATTGACGATCCCCTTTTGTTTCCCGCCTCGAAACAATGATGCGATTCGAATAGAACAGAGCCAGCGGCCGTCTCCTCATCCAAGAATTGCTTCGTCCTTCATCCCGTCGAGTCGAAGATTCAGGGTTTTTTTTCGTCCCTT